TTTCAAAAAAATTAGCAATATATGTTATGGGGAGGATCAAGTTAGATTGGTTCGGCGACTTTGTGACTACAGCACACTTGAGCTCAAATAATGGTTCATTATGATGCCACGGTTTAGTTATATTTATACGTGGACGACAAGAAACTCCAAATGCACCATAATGGTATGTGTGTGAACAACGTTGAAAAACATGATTCTCCCATTCGAATGAACGTGAACCAACCTGATAAGTCTTTAAAGTTAGCAAAGTCATTAACTAATTTTGCTTTACCAAATCGGTAAGAAAAGAGGTTCAAAAAATTTTGAATCATCTAATAGTCATTTATGACTCATAATTTCATTGATTCAACCAGATTTTTAACAAATCTCAGGTCAAAATATTCCTACTCGACGCATCATGTTAATTTTCATATCTTCTTTACCAAATGAGCTACAATTACTCTAACAGAGTGACCAGTTCAGGTAATTAGTATGTGGTTAGAGCATATTTTTTTGAATATATTTAGTAACAAAAAATTATTCCGATCTCAAAAAACCTTTAACTGGTTAAATTTACACTCGAGCATCTATTAAAACTTATTTATTATTTATTATTATTGTTTATACATGCAATAATCCTTCCTACCATCATTAAAACCGATTATTCTACCTTAAGCGAAGGCATCCACAAATCCAGTCTTAAGCACTGCAGCACAATGCTGTAGGCACGTTAACCCATTTCCCGCCAGGCGGTTCGAATTTTCGACCAGTTGTTCATAAAGCTTTAAAATATGTTAAATATATATTTTTTTTTGATCTGATGAATGAATTTACTTATAAAGATATTTGGAAATCTTTTTTATCAGTAAAATAGAGATTCTATTTGTTCCTCGGCTTTTTTTAGAAATTTTTGCAAAATCAAAATTTTAGATGTTTTTTAAAACTTAAAAATTATTAATAAATAAAGGTAACTTTTTACCAAGAATTTTTAAAATATATTTCAAAAAGCCCGATATTACAAATGTATTTGCAAGCACTGACTAATGTTTGACATTACAGGTGATTTTTATATATCAAAAGTAGTGGTCGAAAATTCGACCAATGGCGATAAACATAGTCACATGTTTTGACATGTTGATATGACAAATTTTCATTTTCCCGCCATTTTCACGCAGAAAGAAGCTTAAAAAAGTATAAAGTAATAATAAATATATTGAGAAAAAGTGAAGTGTAAAAGTGTTAATCATGTCTAAAAGGTCAGTATTTTTCTCATCTTTTCGTAGATTTCAATAATGTGTATATTACTTCAATAAATAAACTTATTTGTGTATATATATAGTTGTGAAGGCTTCGGTGTTCGGAAATTTTTACATATGGCAGATATTAAATGTATTTTGGAAGGTTCTGATTCCGAAAATGAAGCAGAAAGAGATTCTGTTTCAAATATTGTATATATTCCACCTTCTCCCGATGCTTTAAGTGACACTGAGCACATAAATGATGAAATTGTGGATGGTTCGGAGGTTGATGCATTGCAAGATGTTGCAGGTGAAATAGAACTGCACTTTATTAACACCAAAGAAGACATTGCTGCACCATCACTGGACCTATCCAAAACAGAGCATAATTCACCAGGTAAAAAGCCTGGATTCTCCAAAACTTCGATTCCACGGAGTGTTTGGAAGAAAACTAAATTTCCAAAATTTCCCCCAATTGCTCACAATACAACTGGCCTCGAAGCTCAGCAAGAGGATCTTGTTAATATATATGGTAAACTAGTATGTAACAATTATACGAAAGAAAGTGTTTGATCATTTTTTTTCATCTTAGGTGGAAAAACTCCAATAGAATTATTTAAATTGTTTTTCGATAAAGAAGTTGTTGAGTTAATTATTACAGAAAGTAAGAAGTATGCAAGTCAGAATAATGTAACAACTAACATTCTCGACGAACGTTTGCTTAATCGCTTCATTGGATTTCTCTTGTTCAGTGGCTATCATAAGCTTCCAGAAATTGAGCATTATTGGCGGCAACAGAATGATTTTGGTATTCCAATAGTTAAGGAAGCACTTACTCGCAATGAATTTCGTCAAGTGAAACGATTTCTGCACATTGCAGACAATAATTCACTTGATAGTAATGATCGATTTGCAAAAGTAACACCTTTAATTGCTTTGCTTAATAAAAAATTCATGCAGTTTGGAGTGTTTCATGAATACTTGTCTATAGATGAGCAAATGGTTCCATACTTTGGGCGACACAGTTCAAAAATGTACATTCGCAACAAACCAATTAAGTTTGGTTTTAAGTTATGGGTATTAGCTTCATCTGATGGCTATATGTATAGTACAATTCCATATGCTGGTTCAACTCAACCATACGACAAAGAAATTGGACTTGGAGCGCATGTTGTATTGAAGTTGCTAGAAAATGTCGAACATCCTGAATGGCATTGTGTATATTTTGATAATTTTTTTACATCATTCTATTTGATGTATTTACTGTCACAGAAAAATTTTCTAGCATGTGGAACAGTCCGTCGAAATCGTTTGCCGTCAAACCTCTCCCTTAAAGGAAAAAAAGAATTGAAAAAAGGTTATTCAATTACATATCGTGTAAAATAATGTATTCTCTATCCTATTCTCTATTTTTCTCTTTTTCAGGTGAGTCCGATTATGCTTTTGATAAGCAAAACGGAATTTACGTTATATCTTGGCAAGATAATTCGCTTGTTACAATTGCAACGAATTTTGAATCAATGGAACCCATGAATTCTGCCCGTCGTTACAATAGGACTTTACAAAAGTATGTGAATCTTCCTCAGCCTCATGCGATTGCAAATTATAATTTGCACATGGGTGGTGTCGATATGGCGGATAATGCAATATCGAACTATCGCATATCCATCCGTGGGAAAAAGTGGTGGTGGCCTTTGTTTTCAAATGCAGTGGATTCGTGCTTAGTAAATGCGTGGAAACTTCATTGCTTCATTTCAAAAGCACAAAAAAACAAGCAAATGAGTCAACTTGATTTTCGTTCTGTTGTTAGCACTGCTTTACTTTCATTTAATTATACAGAAGAACAAAACATTGAACAAGATAACATTGCTGAAACTCAAAGACCTGATGGATTGCCACGAGTTAATGAAATATCACATTTTATTTCAAATAAGACAAAATGTTATCGTCGATGTCGTGTTTGCCATAAACACACAAGTTTTATTTGTTTGAAATGCAATGTCCATTTGCACACTAAATGCTTTACGTTGTTCGACCACAAATAATGTGTGCATTTTTAGTTTTTAGTTATATTGTTTAAATTTATTGAATAAAATTTTATTTTGTGTATATCAATTGCCTTTTTTTTATTTATTATAACTAACTATTCCTTCACTTGTAGCATTTCTTTGAATATACATCGACTAATTATCGCAGGTTTTCTTCAATAATTTTTGCTTCAACTTCAATAATAAAAGTCTATGTTAGCCGCCGTTGGTCGAAAAATCGACCAGAATTTTCCCAAGAATTTGAAAATCGGAAAAATGTGAAAATTTACAGTTTTCTTAATCAAACCAAATGTCATCATCGTGTAAAATTTCAAGAAAAAATTTCAACTCCTTCTAGGTGCGGCGGGAAATGGGTTAATGTTCAGTCCCAAGAAAAATCCCAGTCTCAAAAATTTCACTTGGTACTTATATTCCACAACTCGAACCTTAGCTTTGGACTGTAAAGATGATACATCACCTTTGGTAAATGACTAACTTTTAGATTGGATTTTTCTAGATTCTAAATTTTTGTGAAATGCAAACCGCTGTACCTGTTCAAGTTTCCATCAAGAAATAGCAGGAATGTTTGATGGGATGTTATGGTCAAGTACAAATAGGACTGAATTATTCTCATTCTCACTCACAAGACTACACAATAGTATGCTTGATAAGCATTATGATAAAATTTTTTAAGTTCTCAACATTCCACGCATCGAAAGCCACAGTGTGAGACTTGCACCTACTAAAACAACCTCTTAGGAATGAATCGAGAAGATTTCCACAGCATTGCGAAAACTTCATTCCAGTAATCAGGGGAGAAAGATGTGAACATATAGGCTTAAAACCTATATCATCGATCATGACTTGTAGAAGAATAATATAACACAATCTACCAAATATTGGGTACTCATACTGCTCATTACATCCTATTCTCAGAGCATGCCTAACATATGATAACAAAATAGCTTGATCTAGACGCTGAAGAACTTTATTTTTAAATACAAAATCTTTAATCCTGGTGATGTCAAAGTAAAATTTAAATATCCAAAGAAAAAATAAGAAAAATTACAAGAGCGAAGAGTAAAGAGGGAAGGGCTCTTAATAAAGCTGCACTATTGAACTATTGATGAGTAAAGCAGATTGTAAATTGCATACAATTTTTGTATGCTTAAGCTGATTGTGTTTGAATAGCCAAAAATAAAAAATTTCTACGGATTTATGTTTAAACTGTGCATGAATTTTATACAAAAGTGAACACTTCTGTTTGATTTTATACTGCAACGAGCAAAAAATTTAAAAAAAAAAAAATAAAATAGACAAAAAACTGAAGCAAATTATGCAGCGAGGACGATGATATCCTGCTGTGTTGCATGAACAAAATAAAATAAAAAAAACAAAAACAATTTCAACATTACGAGTATTTTATTTAATTAAACTTTTTTCGTTAAGTATTACAAATTTTTGTTTTCGACTTTTGTCGTTATTTCGTTTATATGTTATATACTATATATAGTATAAATTTTACCACTGTTTACTTATATATGCAGTGAAATGCACCTTTAAAAAGTTTCTTTAGAGAATTACTGTCAAAATTTTTAGCAGCACAACTAAAACAATACCACAAACACAACAACAACTACAACTGCAACAACAATAAAAAACAACAATAACAATAAGTACAACAAATGTTGCATACACGTTGCGCATAATGCCATAAAAAACTAACAACAACGGCATTGTAACAATTTTCACTACTTTTTAATTAAAACTACACAACAGGCAACAACAGTAGTAGCAACTTCAGCGGCAGTGGCAGCAACAATGCTTAAGAGCACAACAGGGCGTATTCAAATTTCGCGCCATACAAGCGCGCGTTATTAAAGGAAATAAAAAATTCAAGTTCTTCTGGTGAATATTTTTTAAAAATGATTAAAAAACTTTCACACCCCCACACCTGCATAAATATGGCCAACACCAACAACAACACCAACAACAACATCAACAACAACACCAACAACAACACCAACAGCAACATCAACACCAACAGCAACATCAACACAAACAAAATAAGAAAGACGTATGTATACCTCCAAAACACAATGGGCACATAAAGCAATCACTATATTTTGGTGCAGATTCCACACGAGATGCTGCTTCACGTTTGCAATGACTTAGACTACCTATTTCTACTACCTTTTTTATGTGTGAAGTGATTCGCAGCTTCATATTTGGAAAATACTGCAAAAGGAATATAAAACAAAGACAATCATAAAGAAGGGCAGCAATTTAAATTGTCGACTACCTTAAACAGTAGGTGGATTGTTAGAAATTCTCAGTAAAAATTTTGGTCTAACACCCTACTACACTACTAGAAACAGCTATAGAATATGGAGCAAAAAGTGATTTGAATGATAAAATAAAACTCCTATTGAGTTATTATTATAAATGTGATAATTACTTAGAGATAGATCAACTTCATGTAGAGTAATATGAAAAAAAAGCTAACTGAAACACAGAGAGACTAACTAACCTACATCTGTATTGTTCAAATACAAACATACACCTATTAACGTGTCTTAGAATAATTGATTTGAATCAATCAGAAGCATAGTTCATTGTCTTATGGTACTTATTTGGGAACATACGCTGCTTGAAATATTTCATTATGGTTATCATCTCATTGTAATTAGTGTCTATTTAGGCACGTGCGCCACAATAAATGTGTTGTTATGGTTATTATTCCATTGTAATTAGTGTTAATTTAGGCATTTATGTAGCAACAAATGTATCATTATAGTTATCACCTTATTGTAATTAGTGTCTATTTAGGCACATACGCCACCATAATGGTCGTATTATAATTTTCATTCACAATGTAATACCATGACCAAAAGAATAAACTAAATAAATCAGTATCTTGCAACTACTCAAATTTTATACTATTATTTTATTTTATTAGACCGGTACATCTCCCTACATCAAATCATCTTAAGCAAATAGCTTTTTGAATACTTAAAACACAGCATTAATAATTAATCCGACATATAGACCCGATTTAACAGCTTATGGACAAAATTCACATCAAAAACAATGTTACACAATAAAGATTGAATTTGTAGATCATAAAGAAGAATTAGAAGGGTTCAAATATAAATAAAAAGACAACAACAAAAATTGTAGTTAATTTATTTAAGTTTGACTGAACATACAACGCTGTTTTAAGTATTGCCAAGTACTCACCGACACAGTAATAAATTAACTAAATTTTTTTGTTGTTGTCTTTTCATATCTATTCGAACCCTTCTAACTTTTAAATAGTTTCTCTTCGTTATAGGACATATTAGCTTCAGCTAAAAAAAATTTACATATAAAGATGAATTTTTCACAAAACAGTAGAAACATTTTCAATGACAAATCACTGTAGTTTTAAAACTAACCCTACAATGTGCATTTAAATTGTAATAAACCAACATAATAGTTTTGATTGAAATTTCATCAGAATAGTTGATTCTTTCAAAAATAGTTTTGTACAAATATAGATATACTACTCGGTACTAAATAATACTGCAATTAAAGTTACTTCGGTATACTTAAATGAAGATTTCAAAACAATGGCATAACAATCAATATCAGTATAAATTAAAGTTTTAATTTTAATTTGAATTGCGTTGTTTGTTAGTTTCCGTGTAATATCTCTACTCTATATCTGCTCTTGTTAAACACTTGAGACGAACGCCCCAACTTCAAAAAACGCTTTAAAATAAATTTTCGATATATTTACAATACACACTCACCTACATTTACCGATTGTGTACCACTTCTGGCTACCACACTTTACCATGACTAACTTTTTACAATTATTCAGGTTGCTTTGTTGCTGTTACGACTTTTGTTGTAAAACTTTTGGTAAGTACAGATAAGTACATCAATTTCCAACTCACCGATTTCAACTTTTACAACATGTATGTTGTAGGACCCTGCCTTATCTCGTTCCCACTACTTGTGTACTTAGCACGAGTATTGACTGTTTTTTGGCAACTTCAATGCAGCCAACAATAAAGTTGACGCTTTTGTGTTGGCTGATATGTAAAAAGGTCGTTAAAGGACATTACAGTTTTCACATTCATTTTATTGGTAGTATTTCGTAAAAGTTTATAGCAAGACAATGAATGAATCTGCTAACAATTTAGAAGCAATTTCAATGAAATCAATTGCACTTGAATATTTAAATTAAAGACAAAAGAAGTAAAGAACTCTGGAACTTTTATAATTGAATCGGGCAAAGGTTGTGTAAAGTTGAAAATTAAAAGCAGAACTTCAGTTTACTTATGTAGTTAATAGTTCGAAAATGCAAGTCAATTATTTATATATTTGAGTTTTATTTAAAAGCGGTATTGATTTAAAAAACAATAAACAACAGAAGTAAATTGTAAATTCTATAAAATGCAACTTCAATCACTTCACCCACCTTATTACTATATTAAAACTGTGTTTCTTTCATGTTATGATAATTCATTCAATATATATCAAATAAATGTACTATATCTTTGCTATATATTTTATACAGCAACTAAAAATAGCTGTAAATTATTAAGCTTTCATCTCAGTAATACGCTATTACTATACTATGAGTTTGACAATAGATTAAAACAATCATTAAGAATAAAGTATTAATATAGTTGTTAAATTCAAAATTTAGCAAATATAATTTAATTTTCTTTTAGTAGTGCCTAATATAAGATCCTATTCCAATAGTAATTTTATTTTAAGGCAACCTGGAAAGTATATATTAATATTATTCCATAATTTCATTACCCTTGTTTCTTGAAAAATTTTATTATTACTTATCTATGTAGTCTATTTCCAGAGTAATATAATCATTCCAATACCTTTTTCACATTACAATGCTTTACTTGTAAAACGATTTATTATTTACACTTAAAATATACCTCAGTTTGGACATAACTTTTTCATCAGACCTTAATTTCTTTCCATGTAGCATTATTTTGAGACCTACGCACATATATTAAACGCTGGTGGTGATTTTGCTTCCTCCATATTCGTCACGAATATATAACGCCCGTGTCGCAAACACGAACTGTTTTAGTGAAACAGGACTTCCTTCTTCTATATATTGGGTCGTCGTTTTCTAATATCCCTCCTAAAATGCATCAGTTGGGCTATATAGCTATTGTAAGTCTGGCCTTTTTTGCGGATATCGTTGAGCTAATTTCCAAGCGCATCTCAAAATACGGATACCATAACCCTACCAGCTGTCTATTACGGTTTCTTACCGCTTTAAGCGAGTTTTACCAGCTACTTCGCTAAGTACTGATTCGACTCTAGAATGAAGTGGTGGCTTCAACTTTTTCTATTGTAACATATAGGCCGAAAAAATCTCTTAAATCACAATTCAATAGCTTCA